TCTACGTACGTGTTTTTTTAAAACCAGGGCTCCATGTAGTATTTCATGTCCACTTTAATGTCATTGTCTTTATGAATGACTTTTATATAGATACACTCTGCATGTTTCTGCTGTGAGCCTGCAGCAAAGTTTACAACAAAAAACCCCAAATGAAAACATTGTGGCCGCTTAACTGAGCAATTTATTTGTTTGACGCTGTATCACAGAGTCAAACGCATTTATTTAAGCTGAGACACTAGCTGCTGTGATACAGAATATCCAGGAAATCAATGTGTACATATACCTGACTAGCTGGCTGCTGCTTAAATGGCAGACCAGTAGCACTTGTAAAAATGTTAACGTATTTTCCGCACTATAAGGCGCGCTTAAAATCCTTTAATTTTCTCAAAAATCGACAGCACGCCTTATAATCCGGTGCATTTTATGTATGAATTATGTATTTTTTTAAATATCTTGCTGCATTTTGTATAAGTCCATACTCAAGTTTTAAACAAAGCCACACTAAAGCTATTCTGTTACACCTGTATGCAAAAAATACACTGCACCCAAAATATTTCATAGTTCAGCAACACTGATCAATCTAATAAAGTTAAACCTGCTCCATCCTCCCTATTCTGGTATTTTAAAGAGTACTTAGTGGAAATATAAAGCAACCTAACTAATAGGGTTGCAAACTCCCAGCAAAAACAAAAACAAAACAAAATAGGGAACCACCCTCCACACTCATGCTTAATTGACGTAATCGACTTTAATTTAAAGCACTTGTAAAAAAAAATTAAAAATTTAAAAAATGCACAGAAGTCAAATATTTTTTTTTACAATAATTAAATAGATTCAACATCTTTCTTCAACAGAATTGCAAAGGAAAAAGTACTGTAGCTTTCTAGGTTATAAATTTGACTTAATAGTTACTATATACAATAATGGACTTCTATACATTTTACATAAGATGAAAACTTTGGTTGTAAGATTCAGATAATTATTTATTAAAAGCTAGACATGACAATTAGAAAAAAAAGTTTGTTTTTGTGCCCCCCTTTCCCTGTTCATGCCCTATCGGCCCCCCTGGCAAAACTTCGCTAGATCCGCCCCTGCACAGTTACCAGCCGTCAGCTAGAAAAGGATCCTGGTGTAACAACAGTTTATCAAGCTTAAACGTTCGGCTGTTGTTTATCCGCTGGTTTCCTCTTTCTGCCGCGAAGTGGGCGATAAACAAACAAGAGAGACGGGAGTCGCGACAGAAAAGCCGATCAGCTGATCATTGATCAGTTTCATGATTGAAGTAGCAGCAGGAGAGGGAGGGGGAGAGAATGAGAGGCAGTCGCTCCATATATCGGTTGTTAAGCTTAACATGGGAATGCTTTACTAACATTCAGAGATGAACTTACACACTTGCTTTACTTCTCTGGCATAGCTTTCTCGGAGATGAAATGCCGGTTTGGAAGCGCGCAGCGAGGCTCCAAATGCTCAACCAGACTGCCGACAGGTCTCACACGCTACAGCCGCTCTATCACGAGACGCATACTGCTCTGACGTGCTAAGGTTATGAGCTGGGATACGTTATGTCACAAGTTTTGTGAGGTGCTTTTGTGATATTTAATGGATCGGATTACATTTTTTATTTCTCTCCGATATCTGATACAGTCATTTAGGTCAGTATCGGACAGATACTGATACGTAATATCGGATCCGTCCATCTCTAGTTCTGACTGAGAGATCACTTCTATCATCAATGAAGACAGAAAACTAAACAGCAGTGACTTTTGTAGGGTTACTGAAGTTGGTCTAGCTGGTATATAATGATGTGCTACATGATTGCTAGCACACAGCTATGTTAGCATCACATAAACACAGTGAAGCTGGAGGATGAACGCTAACTTTTTTTCCACTCGATAAAAGTTAACGTGAGGGTTCCTGATGGTTAGAGACAAATGCAATCGCATGGCAGGATGCTATAAACGGACCAAACTTCAGTCAGGAGAACAACTGAGATTATTCATCCAC